AGCATGGTTCCTCTCAAAGTTTGTTTTATAAAACAATAGTCCTTTGATCTGCTTCACAGTAAAAAATGTGAGATAAAATAAAATGCTTCATGAACATTATTTTCATTCATTCCAGACTCACGGCTTTTAGATACTTTATAAAACATATTGCAGTGAGGACAAAAATCTATTTAATTTTCAAAGGCATTGTTTCTCAGAACTGTTTGATTAATTAACTCTTTCTTTTGTAATGATTGATTATAATACTTCAAAACCAGTGCTGGTAGAAACTCATTTTAGGACATATCATAGTTCATCAATTTCTAGATGCACATTTTCTTCACTTTTTTACCCTCTGGAATTGGGATGCATCTTATTATTGGATGTCCTGGGTTCGGTGAAGTATGGTTTTGCCCTAGCAGCTTTCATGTCAGTTATGTGAGCTGTTTTAGTGATGATCAGGCTCAGTTGAGAGTGACAGACGTCCAAAATGACAGTGGCTTGAATAACATAGAAATTGATCTCTTACCAGCAGTTCTGGGGTGGGTGGTCCTTCACTAGAGTTGCATTTCGTGCTGTTGGATTCCCAGGTTTCTTTTTTCTTATTCCATTTTCCAGAGCCTTTATATCCAAGGCCATTAAAATGGTTCAAGAAGGTTGTTCTATGTTTATCTATTATACCCAAATTCTTAACAGCAGCAAAATAAAAATCAATCAATCAAAAGTAGTAAAAACAAAGTGTCAGATGTCTCTTCAGGAAAGTTCTCAGACTCTCTCAGTGACACTTTGTCTTGTATCCTACACCCAGTAGCCAAAAAGGGCTCTGGAATATAGTTGTTTTTCTAAGCTTGTGTGTACTGAACTAAGATTGTTTTTTGCTATGAATAAAGAGGAAGCCTGTGAAGGTTGAAAGATGGGAGAACTAACACTACCTGCTCTGGTGTTTTTCCTGAATATTGATATTTACCAGAAGTAGATCATTTAAAAAATCAGTCTATAAACAGAAAGTAGAGAAATATCAAAGCACAACTCTTTCAGAGTTAAGGCATGAAGGCAACTATTGTTAATGATGAAAAATTCATTTAGCCATTAGCAACCAGAAAATTAGCCCTTTCCTCTCCAATATCAAATAGTTTAGAAGAAATCTCTTGGTGTGTATGGCCTTAGATTGTGAAGGTCAGAATGGAACGATATTCTCTGTTGCCTTCCTTTGATTCTCTGGTCTCTCTAATTACCCAAATTTCACTGGAGAGAAGTGCAACTAGAAATACAGGGAGTGATTCACATGATGGGTATTGTGTAAATATGGGCTCACAGTAAAAAAATCCAGAATGTCCAGAATTTGACTAGTTTGTTCTCAAGCTGCTCCGCGATTGTTCTGATTACTCTTTCAGAAATTTGGATTGAATTAAATGCAAGAATTACTGTAAAAAATTTTCCAGTGTTAACCACTGCATTTAATTTTTATATTTGTTCACAATATCTTTAATTACAAATTTCTAAATAGAAATACTGAAGTAGGGAGACCATTCAAATTTAACCTCAAGTTTGACTACTGCCCTCTTGGAAATATAATTAGATTATGACTAAATGACCTTTTTTAAATGTAAATATCTACCTATTTTTGCCATTGTCATTTTGTAATTTCTGTCGCTCTCAGCTGATCTTCCTGATTCTTTTACTTTATTAAGCTATCTTTTGGCCAAAAACAAACAAAAAAGTATTTTTTGAAGCTAAATTTCTATTACCAGTTTCTGAAAGCTGCTATTCTGTGGTGTTTACCTTAATTTATAGGCTCCAAAAAGCACTCATTTTATAGGGAAATTATGTAATAATTTGATGGAAAAATAGTAATTATATAACAATGGGATACAAAATTTCCTCTGTGTTTATTATATCAGATTATCTAGTATCATAAGGCAAATAAAATTATAAAGTAATATCTCTCCATCAGGCTTATTTTTTAAAAAAATTAATCAAGTAAGTGGTAAAAAAAATCTTGAAAGACCCAATAGGTGAGCTTCATGAATTGATCTGGCTTAGTGAATTGATAAAAATGTTTTCAATAAAAATGTTAGTTTACATGTTGTTTCTCTATTGCTTTACCTTACTGAGAATGATTAGTCATTTATACTTCAAGGTTTTGAACACTATAAATGATAAAAACAAAAATGGATGCCTATATTAAAATTTAACTTAATGTGCCCACAGAGGAAAAACTGATTTTTAAAAAGATGAAATCTACCAGATAGATAGGTGTTTTCTTATTATCACCAGATATGTATTGAATACCTCTCATGCACAGAGCTCTCTGGTAGGTGCTGGAATGTGGACATTCAAATAACTCAGCCCTGCTGAAGTGTGTTTGAAGTAATGGTTATATCTTTATTGCTTCAACAGGGAAGGGAAATATCCTAGCTATGGTATGAATTAAGAATTATGAAGCGATAAAATAAAAACCAACATCTATTTTCTTGGAAACTTGAGGCAGCTTAGTATTATAACTGCTTTAAAGCACATTCATAAGCCACTAATAAAATTGGAAGGCGTGAGGGTTGCATGAGAAATACATACAGTAGCCCTGGCTGGTATAGCTCAGTGGATTGAGTGCGGGCCTGCGAACCACACAATTGCGGTTCGATTCCCAGTCAGGGCACGTGCCTGGGTTGCAGGCCAGTTCCTGGCAGGGGACTCACGAGAGGCAACCATGCATTGATATTTCTCTCCTTTTCTCCTTCCCTTCCTCTCTAAAGATAAATAAATAATATCTTAAAAAAAAAGAAATGTGTACAGTAGTCTCCCACAGGGAATACGTTCTAAGGTGCCCAGGGTATGCCTGAAACCATGAATAGTACCAAGCCTTATATATGCTATATTTTTTCTATAAATAGATAACAATGATAGACTTTAACTTAAAAAGTAAGCCCAGTAAGAGATTAATAAAAATAACTAAAAAGAAAATAGAACAATTTATAACAATATATTGTGATCAAGGTTATGTGAATGAGGTCTCTGCCTTTCTGTCTGTGATAACTGATCTGGTGACCAAGATGACTCCTGAGTGAGCAGTGGGTGGGGGCGTATACAGTATGGATACACTGGGCAAGGAGATGATGCACAGCCAGGATGGAATGGAGCAGGGTAGGGTGGTGCAGGATTTTATGGCAGTACTCAGAACTGTATACAATTTTACATTTATGGGTTGTTTATTTCTGGGATTTCCCACGTGATATTTTCAGACTGTGGTCGAACTTGGGTAGCTGAAACTACGGACAGCAAAACCACTGCTAAGGGAGGACTACTGTATTTCTGTCCCAATTAGAAAGCCCCCTTAGAAGACTGAGTCTATGTCTCTGAAACTATCTATTCAGAGCTGTAAATTTATTCAGCCCCAACTATGAGTGTTTGCGGTGTGGTCAATCTAACGGCCAACAATCCAAAATCAGCGGGATTTCTATGCGACTACTCTTCAAGTTTTCATGCAGGAGACCTCCTGTTATCTGTCTGCTGTTTTCTGCACCTTTCTCCCATCACCTAAATAGCAGTGTTTTTAGCGATGGAACTCAGGATTTAGTAACTTTTTTATCAAGTGATAATCCTTCTTCAAATCAAAATGGAAGTTTCTCATTAGACTTCAAATTTATAAATATTTTGGATGGATACATTTTCAAGCAGATATGTACATTCTCAATTTTACTTTAGTCTTTAAAAGTATTATATACTTGTCAGGAGTAATTTTACTGGCAATATATTGGGTTAGTAGTTTGTCCTATTCAATGTACAATTATAAAACTTTTAAATAGGTAACATTTTAGCTTTCATGGAAATTTTACTTCTGCTGCAAAGCATCTGTGTGTTCCTGATAAAGTAGGGGAATGATAATTGGAGCATAGTGTTAAGAATTTTAAAGTCTGGGTCTATTTCAAGGTTACTTCTTATTTAAAAAGGCAAATGATTTATATGATCAGAAAAGAAACCAGAGAATCAAGGTTACTTCTTATTTAGCTGAGAGGCCTTAGCATGTCATTAACTTTTAGAAGTTTGTTTCCTTATTCATAACATAGAGTGAATAATATTTGCTCTGATTATATGAGAGCTGAGAAGAGGAAATGTAATACTAAGTATTAAAATACTTAAAAACTTTAAAGCCTCAAAATATAATCAGCCTCAAAAAAGATGCATATGTGTGTGAGTATGTGTGTATGCATAAGTGATAAAAATAATAGATCCTTATTTGGTTTGAGTTCTGATTATTTATGGAAGTGAAGCTGATCACTTTTTAGAAAAGTTTGAGAAAGAACAGGGTGTTGGGTTTTAGATTTTCTTTGAGTGACTTGAACAGAACAAGGTCTATAACATTTAATTCATTTTCTTGGAAAGAGAACAGCCGAAATTGACTCTGTCAGGACTTTAATACAGGCTCTTAAGACCCAATGGTATTGTCTACTCGGCATTACACATTTTCCGAAGTCCTTTTTAATCTTCAAGGGTTGTGTGAATGTCAACCAATTTGTCCCAGTTTTGTTGCCCAGTAATTGGTGTAAAATTGCTGTTCCTTGTGTCTCCAAGTGTGTTAATGCATAGTTGCCACAAATGCATTGTTTCAAAATTGATTTTGAATCACACACACTCTCCAACATAAGAAAGACATAAAAGTAAGCATTATTTATGAGGCCAAATTTAAACACCATCATGTGGTCTTTCACAAGAATGACCAAGGTGCTGATTTAAGATAACAAGCATTGGCCAAAATTATACTCTGTGGTCATCCAGAAAAGCATTCTGTGTATTGTTCTTGTGATCTTGCACTATGTAATGATTCCCCGTATTGAATTATCCTTATAAACATATATGAAATAGAAATTGGACATGACTAATGCCTTTTGGGGATGTCACTCAGACAGCTTCAAGGTGCAAAATAAAAAGTAACAGTAAACATTATAAAAGGGCGTGGAATTTTCTTAGGAGGGTTATTGCATTGCACTTGAAAAAATCTGATACATATGCTGCTTCTTCTTTAGGCTCCTTTACCTGCAGTCAGTGACCTTCCAGAGTTTTTCATTGCTTCTTATAAATGGCCTGGATGGATTCATGGCCCATTGGATCAAAAGAATTGTGCTGCATCATGGGCATTTTCCACTGCAAGTAATAACTTAATTTTAATTAATTTCTTATGCATTCTCCTTTTGTCTCTAGATCTTATGGCAGTGATTAAAAGGGTTGAAAATTTAGAATATTTAAACACTAATGTTTGATTAATTAAAATAAAATCTTATTTTTACCAGAGAAAGCAACCTGAAGATTATATAAAAATCAATTTTACCCTGATAATTGTTCTGTAAGGCCTAATCTTAAGTAGAAAGTAAATGAAAAAGCAACAAAGAAAAGTTGCCAAATTTGTTTGTCTTTTGAGAATTAAGGCCAGATAATTAGAGGGGCTTAAGGTTCTTTTTTAATGCATATTGTAATACTAATATACACAAGCCCACATAGTTCTTTTCTTTTAAAAATATATTAAATTGGTAAACTAATTTGATATAAAGTAAGACCAGGATTAACTGATAAAGGATTAAATGGGTTTAATCTCACTTTAGATAGAAATAAATATATAGGTTCTGAGTCTAACGTAATAGAACTGCTTTTCTAATAAGAATAATTTCTAAATTAATGTTGTTGATCATTCAAAAGTGCAACAGTATATCTTTTATAGCTATTTTTGTGTAACTTCACAAGTCCAGTAAATCAGTACTCAGGTTAATAACAAGATTTGGTCTCCAAATAATCCTCAAAGGAGTATGCATTCCAGCAATTAAATGGACACTAACGTAATATTTATTGGCTGCTATCAAAGCCCTTAATAAAACTGTGCTCTAAGCTTTAAAGGTAATTCCAAAAGAGCACTCGAAACCAGCCTAAGCACCTAAAGCATTGTCGAATAAGTGCATAGACTCTTAGAAGAGCAAGCTCTGAAGAGTGGCATTCCTTGGGACAGACAAGTGCTGAAAGCTTTGTGTAAATAGTATTACTTCATAGTATCAACTGGCTTGTTTTAGAAATAATGTCATTAGCCAAGGTCACCTCCTGAGCCGCTGCCTCTGTTAACATGGTGTGACTGCTCACTCCCCCAGGATAAACACTTCCAGACTGTCGGGTGTTTGTCCCCACTATAGTGGAGATACACGGGGGGACCTCACTGAGCCCTGATGCAGATGGGTGGAGAGAGATTTAATCAGATAATTTATTTGTCATTCTATATCCATGTGGTTAATCTATTCCACCTCCTAGGCTATGTTAGAATTTTGCTTTAACTTTAGGGTAGACTAGTATTCCTGAAGATGTCTTAGGGAGGATGGTGGTGGTGAAATGCTCAGAGTAAACTGGCTGGGCTGATTTGGACAGTGTGTTTGGGGATCCTCAGGTCACAGACCCTCAGTAGGCCTGGACTAAGTCTGCATCTGTCCCCTCATCTAACTCACCAAACAACAGAGAGGAGTCTTCTACACTTTTATGGTTTCAGAGGATACAGTTTTGTATCCTGTGTGGTCACCATGGAAAATAAGGCTGATGCTATTTTTTTTGAAAGCATTAAGTAAAGAAAAGAAGAAACTAGGTTATGGTAAAGATCTAGAAAATTCTGTCAAGAAGCAGTAGTTAAAATAACAATAATTGTCTTTTAAAGAAGCTGAAAGCTATAAAATGGAAGAAACAGGGCATTAAAATATGTACATATGTACATAAATACTTACTCAGTCACATAGAATTCCAGCACGATGTGAGAAGCTGAGGAGGTGAAGCAGTTGGAAATGGTGGCAGTGATACAAGCCACTGTGCTCTGAGGTCATAAAATGTGTGCCAGAGGTCAAGTGCAATAAAAGTTTTTGTAAAAAGACTGGAAAACAATTTGCTAAACTGAGTCATTCTTTAATCTGCTCACCTTTTCTAAGTATTCTAGTACATTTGGGTTAAATCTTCACTGAGGTTCAGAAATGGCTGTATCAGAGCAACATATCGCATACCATCAGAATTTTAAATATTTATTCTTCAGTTGAAATTTCCAGATTCATGGGGCTGAAAGGGATCTTCGAGGTCACCATTTTCAAGTCATTGGTTTTATAAAAGAGGCACATACAAGTAAAGTGGCTGGTCAGAGCCAAAAACCAAGCAGTAACAGAAATGATCCTGGAAGCCAGTTTTCTGACTTCTTGAATATTGTTTTCTCTACATTGTAAAGTATATTCTGAGCTAAAGAACAGTTACAATAACATTTCAAAAATTTATACCTGATTCTGAACTTTTGTATAGAAAGTCAAAGCATCAAAGGATTTCAGTTTTCTTTTATGGAGAAGGGAATTGTTTTATTGAGAATAGAAGAGGTGGTAGTAAAATGTTATTTGCTTCTGTGAAATATCTCCTGACCCGGTACTAGTTGGGATCGAGAAGGAAGGAGGAGGATATAGACTCAATGCTCCGGCATTTGTATGGGGACTTGTGCATGGGCTGCACTTACACAAAAACCATGTCTATACAGAGATACCTATGTAGATGAATTATTTAAAATAAATTAGTTTACAATGATTTAAAATGAGCACTTTGAGGGATTGTGGTACCCAGGCAATTTTGATGAGCAAAAGCAGTAACTTTTTCTGAGAAAATTGGTTGGCTGGATAGAAGAGAGATTATGAGTCTGTTGTCTTTAATTAAAAGAGACTAGACATCAAGACCGAGATGATACCAGATGATGACGAACAGTCTGTACCAAAATGGCTCCCACCCCAGGTTTTTTTTTTGCGGTCTTATTACTCATACTGGTTTATCATGGTAGCATGATCAAAATGAAAACATCCATGTTTTTCTGCTACTGATTGATTAGTATGACTGTCTTGTTTCTTTTTCATCATTATAATTTCTAGTGCCTATCACAGCTCTCATCTAGTAGGTGGTCAATAAGTATAGGTTTGGAAAAGAGATGAATTGATCAACAGCAACCATACTGGGAAATTATTTATACAGAAGAATATAAGGTTCAATCATAAAAGGCATATATATATGTATGTGTGTATACATATACATACGTATATATATATATATATTCAGAATCTACTGAAATAAGATTAAGATCATTATTTTCAAGAATGTAATACACGTAATAAAAGTATGCTATTTAGCTTTTGGGTGTTTTATAAGGTAGATTCATATTACCTGGATAATTTAAGAATGGTCTATTGGGCAATTAAACTATATATCTGTTTAAATAGCAAAAATTCAATTTATTCCAATACATCAGATTAACATAGATGACTTTCCAATTAATATTTCTATAATAAGTGTTTCTGATTTCATTATTTTAGTTACATTCATTAAAAAACATACACTTATTTTTGACTAGATGTAAGTTACTGTTCTACGTGTAGGAGATACAAATGTAAATAACATATAGCTCTGGCCCTAAAGTCACTTGACTGATTTCTTAATGAAGAATTCAGAGGTATATGGAATATGAAAGAAACAGGGAAGTAGAAAAGTCTTTGAAGTTGATAAGACAATGGAACAATACCAAAATCAGATAAAAATTATGACATGAATTACGATATAGTTAACTATTGGAATTTATAAATATGTTAATGATATTTTGCCTTAATTTTAAATTATATAAAGTTTAGAAGACTGGTGTAGGGTTCAAAATAAAAGGGGATATGCAAATCATTAGAAATGTCATGTGTCATTTTAATATTAACCAATATTTTATTTGAGATAGGTGTGGCTGCTGACCGAATAGCAATTCAGTCTAAGGGGCGATACACAGCCAATCTGTCTCCTCAGAACTTGATTTCTTGCTGTGCCAAGAACCGCCATGGATGCAACAGTGGAAGCGTCGATAGGGCTTGGTGGTACCTGAGAAAACGTGGGTAAATAGCTGCCCAGCATGTATTTCTAGGATTCTTATGAGGGCTCCTATGATTAGAATAAAGAAAAATATATATATTTCAAATTTTCACAAAAATGTACAAATATATATGCTAAATCTATATAAATATATGTTTTGTTTGGTATCTACTTAGTTTATAAGCTATTGGAAACAATTATTTAAAGAATGTTTACTTCCTAGCCAAATTAATAGAAAGATTCAAGTAAGCACTGCCTTCTTGTTTCTACAAGCCGAATGGCTCTACTGAACCCCATGGAGTGAATACAGTAATTGATATCACTGATACTTCCATTGAAACTTTCAGTTACCCAAGTATATGGGAAGATAATGTCAAGTAAGTTAGATTAAGAATCAGATGAATAAAATAAAGGAGTAATTTACAGTTGCTTCAGTTCTTCAATATCATTCATTAATTGTCTCCATCCCATTGGATGAGAAAAGGCAGGTTGCATTTCTTTACTCTCAAGCACCCTGATAATCCACATAGCACCCTTGTGTCTACTGAGAGCTCATCTACTTAAGAGCTGAGTTCTTTGGCTAAGTAAACTGTAGTTGACAGCTAGTAGTATATATATGTACCACTAACCTTTTATTTCCTCATCCACTGAATCCTCTGCAGCTGCTATAGAACAGATATGTGCTGTGAAAAAGTGGATGTCAGATACTGATGAGTGGTAATACACTTAAAAAATTTCTTTCATATGTTTTGCCTACTAAGGCAGTGCTTAGAACGGACAACTTGGGCTGATACCTTTCTGGTGTACTAGTGACTGTTAGTTTCTGTTTTGTACTATGGTAAAAACCAAAACCCTTTAGGAGGTTCATAAAAATGATCATGGAGACCCAGCTAAGTCTCGTTGTATTAGTCTGCTTAGGGTAACATAAGATAGCATAGACTGGATGCCCTAAACAGTAGGAGTTAATTTCTCACCATTCTGGTGGCTGAAAAGCTCAAGACCAAGGCCTAGCCAATTCAGTTTTGGAGCCAGCCTCTCACTGGCTTACCTCCTCATTATGTTCTCACAGGACGGAGAGAGTTCTCCTGCCCATATATGGACACTATTTCCATTATGATCCCATTAGAAACCCCAACCTCATGACCTCATTGAAAGCTCGTTATCTCCTAAAGATCCCATCCTCAGATACCACGGCACTGGGGATTAGGGCTGTAACATGTGAATTTGGGGGTGACACAATTCAATGGAAAGCACTCATTATCCCATTTAAGGAAAGATTTTTTTTGAAGCAGTCAGTATTTTTAATGGCTCTGCTTTCATTATGCTCCTTGCCTAGATTTTCTTAGTCTCATGAACACTTGTGACTTTTCCTGACCCAGTCCTATTGTATAATCATATGGCCGATTCTGTTGTTTCATTTTTTTTATCATCTGCTTCTTTATTCAAAGAGCAAAATAATTTGTACTTTTCTATGTTCAGTTTTAAAATTTGAGATTAAAATTGTTTATCTTTTGTGTAATGTCTGATAATTTTTTACTTTATTAATTTTAAATATCATTTTAACATATACTACTTCTCCAAGTATCATGAACTAAAGACATATAATAGTTGGAGTCTTAGGAGAGGGTATCTATAACTTAATAAAATGTAAAAATACCCTCAATTATAAAACATGTAATTTATCAGAATACCCCATCTAAATATAATACAATTTATTGTCTTTTTTTTACATTAAATTTGGCTCTTCTGCATTGTAATTATAGATGCAGAATGAAGAAGTACTTCCTCTATTAATATTACCACAGATTTTATTGACGGTCACTTTTTGTCCCCAGGAAATTTTATAATGTAGATAGAATTACTTATTTAAGTGGATTAAAACAAGATTAAAAAAATTATAATGAAGAAATAAGAGGGGGGGTGGGGGTTAATGTAATATCAGTAAACTGCTCTTTTAGAATCAAAGTTACCCATGTGAGTAAGCAGAATGTTTAATTCAGTAAAATTGCATATAGATAGGATACTATGCATTTTCCTAAATATTACTTTTACCTTTTCATTTATTCCTCATAGACTGGTATCTCATGCATGCTACCCACTCTTCAAGGACCAGAATGCTACTGGCAATGGCTGTGCGATGGCAAGCAGGTCTGATGGGCGGGGAAAACGGCATGCCACAAAGCCATGTCCCAACATCATTGAGAAATCTAACAGGATCTACCAATGCTCTCCTCCATACAGAGTCTCCTCCAACGTGAGTCTAAATGGCATGAATTACCAGTGGTTAACTTGTTCAAAATCTACAGCTCCACTGTTATTAAAACTATTTAAGAACTATTTAAAATGGTAACATTCTAATATAATGCTATGATTTGAGGTATAATTTTTGATATTCTTTTTAGAATTGTTTTATTTTTAAATAATTTTATTTAGTTATTTTTCAAGTACAGTTTTTTGTCTATTTCTCCCATCCCTGCCTCCCCCACCCTGTGCTCCTACCTCCCTCCCATTTCCACCCCCCTTAGTTCTCGTCCCTGTGTCCTTCATATTTGTTCCTCCAAATCCCTCCCCCTTTTTCCCCCTTAAATTCCCTTCCCTCATTTTTTATATTCTTAAAGTGCTCACTGAAGACTTCCAATTTGGGTATGATTTCTGATCTTTGTAATATTAGCAGTATAAATGATTGACTTACATTTAAAAATGTCCATGGAACTAGAGTTTTATAATTATTTAATTAATTAATATACTTGACAAGTAAAAGCTAAATCAAACCCCTTTTTGCTGACATTTAATTTGTTATAGTAGCTCATTATAATGTTTTGCCTTACTCCACAAAATAATTAAGGTAGACATAGCAACAATGTGAAGAAGACACCCTTGTATTCCAGTTCGTCACATCAAAAGCATTGGCAAATTTTACTCCGTCGTATCAATGTTAGCCAGACCTTCTCACTTTGAGAATATCTGAATCTTCACTGTCTTCCAGTTACCTGCAGAATACAGTCCAGTATTCTCATGACGACACATAGGCTTTCATGATTTGGTTCTGACTACTGCTTTTGCAGACTCTTGTCTGGCCAGCATTTACCCCTCTACCCAACCATAATGCACCTGATTGAAGGACTACTGTCTGCTTCCTAGCTACACCAGATTCTTTCATGCTTCTCTAATTAGCCAAGTGACGATTCTTCTTACCCAAGTGATTATCCCACCTATTTCCATCTGGTAAAATCCCACATATGTCTTAAGGTCCAAGTCAAAACTTAATCTTTTCTGTGAGGTTTTCTTGACTTAATTTCTCTGTTTTTTGTGTGTGTCTATGGCACTTTGAGCTTGTAACTATAACAGAACTTATCATTTTGTAATGCAGTTAGTTGTGTTACTGTCTATTCCACCAAAACATAAATACATTGAGGGTAGGTTCAGGGTCAATATTTGTTACTATCCTGGTTTCCTGTGGTATATACTTTGTGATACATGTGCATAGAAGTATGAATGAATGCATAACCTGGCTCTTTACTAAGGGCTGCATTACACATTGGGTAGCAACATTTGTGTGCTAAACCTACTCTGAGGAAGTTTGCTAAGCATGCATCTGGTATTGCTCCTGTGATCAAAAGAATGGAGATGGCACTAATCACCAATGATTAAACATGGTTTTATTTTTTTAAAGGTATTATTTATTTATTTTTGGACAGAGGGGAAAGGAAGGAGAAAGAGAGGGACAAAAATACCACCCTGTGGTTGCTTCTCATACACTCCCCACCAGGGACCTGGCCCGAAACCCAGGCATGCGCCCTGACTGGGAATTGAATCAGCGATCCTTCGGTTTGCAGGCTGGCACTCAATCCACTGAGCCACACCAACCAGGACTAAACATGGTTTTAACTTATTATTTTTTGTCAGCATAAGAAGCTATTATATTTTCTCTCCATTCCAAAATTATTATCAGCGTTAAAGCCAGTAACATAAATGGGTGCATTTTATTTTAACGACTTCATCAATAGGGTGTTTTAAATGTGAGTGTTTCAAAGTATGATTCAAGGCAAGCGGTCAAGGCACACCGGGTTGTGTAAGTGCTCCTAAGCTGATTGGACAACATCTAATACACGCCAGACAATGGACCTGGTGTGCTCTGATAGCAGCGACCATGCTCAATTATCTTATTCCTTCTAGGAAATTGAAATAATGAAAGAAATCATACATAATGGACCAGTTCAAGGTAAGCTTGGATGAAATATGGTTGCATGATATTTATTCCTTTAACTAACATTACATTTTAGCTTGTGTAAAAGGGACTTAATAAAAGGAAGAAAATTTTTACTTTCAGAGAATTCCTAAGGGTTCAACAGTTCGAAGGTCAGTGCAATCATGGAAAATACATTCGCCTAGTAACTTCATTAGGTGCATTTTATTTTAAGAAAGTAGATTCACCCATAAATTGAATTCTTACATATTCATGACACATTTGATGAAAGTCTGTTAAATCTTTCCAAAGTGATCATGAACTCAGCAGACAGTCAAACATGAAATGCTGAGCGATGAGCTCATTTAATTGCTTGGTCATATTTAAACATCATACGTACTGTTAGAAATTTTCTCACCTTCAGTTTAAATGGATCAGGTAATGAATTTTAAAAAATCAAGGTTTTGCAGTAGAAATAAAGTAGGTACTTTTCTTTTTCTATAAACTCAAAATAAATCAAGTAAACCAGTCTGATTTTGTGTTTTATGAAGGCCTTCTATTTTTATCAATTTTATAAACATGTAATGGATAGTAAACAAATAGCAAATTAAAAAAGAAAATGTTTACTGTACATTGACTGATTTTTAAGATATCACCTCTGATATGCTGTTCCTCTCCTTATTCAGTTTTATATTGTGCCAATGGCATAGCTAAAGATACATTTACAGCATATATTCTCTGTACTAAACATTGTCTTCAAGAACGCAGAAACATAAATCTGGAAGGCATAAAATGAAAATTCAGGCTGTGAACATTGAAGGGTGCAAAATATATTATCAGTGTAGTAGGATAAAGCAAATACATTTAAATCCAGCAAACAAATTTGAATAAACTAAAACTTAAATTTAACATATTTGATGTATATCTAAGGAACTGTTGGCCAGCTTTTGTCTTTGGAGTGCTGAATACTGACCTAATTAGTATTTATTCAACATCTAGCAGTAACCACGGATTTTTGCATTGGAATAATTAGTATTTATTGTTATCACCGCTGAACATTTACTGAAAAAATGAAGCTTACAGTAAACATATCCTGAACCATGTTTACTTTTAAAAAGACCTGGGACCTTATACAAAATCTAGAACAAATGGATACAAATACTTTTTCCTCCTTGCATTTGTGTCATTTTTGTTGGCTGTTATAAGAGAAGAGCAATTCGTGTATAATTTAAATATATACTTCAGACGATGGAGTTTGTGTGACAAATTTGAAAGAGTACAGGCATTTGAACTCAAGAATGAATTTAAAAATCGAACTTTGATATTTGCTACTTAAATGACCTCGGGCAAGTTATTTAACCTCTCTGAATCTTCACATAATTATTACTTTTATAAGTTTCTCTCTCTTTCTCTCTCTCTGTGTGTCTCCCCCCTCTGTCAAAAGATATTTGGATCATTATCACTTAAAGCTGAAAACACTTTAGTTTTTTTTTATGGTCATATACTTAAATGACTGTGAATTTCACTTAACAAGGAAAAATAGATACAATTTCAAAATAATAAATTGAAATGCAAAGTATCCTGTATCCATTGAACAAATGTTTGTTGAGAACCTCTCTCCTGACAGCCTGAGCCAGGGGCGAAAGACTGAGCTGCTGCCATGTTCATCCTGCATATGGTAATTCTGTCTGTTCGCTGCAGTTTTCCAAAAATAAAATTGCACTGCAGTACTTTGAATAGTTAGATGTTTGTGGGTTCATCAAGTCTGTTTTCGTGTCCAAAACTGAAGGAAATGGCCACCCTCAAGTTTATTGTGATCACTTCTCACCCATTTTTCTTTTGTTGGCAGTATTTTTCAGAAATGAAAGGTGTATTTTATTCATGGTGGTTACAAGAGAGTTGGGAAAAGCTAAAGAAGCCTGTGGTTCTATAGAAGAGGAAAACCACTGGCAAATTCTCCCAGTTTTGTAAATGCTGATCGACTCTTCTTTCTGTAGATGCAGCGTGATTGTTTGCCCATTGTTGCCCGGCTAACATTGTGTGTTTCTCTAGTCTCCATGCAAAAGGACATAAAAGGCAACAGAGTGCTGAATAAATAACACTATGTGCATTCTTCTAAAATATGTAGAATTAAAAATAAGTTTAGGTTATGGAAAGAGAACAAAAGCAAAGATCCTCATAGAGTACAGTTATATAAATTCTTAAAAACCTATGGGAATGTGTTTTAAAGTCGATAAAAATTTTTAATCTTTTTTGAGAATATTTGAACAGCATCAGAAAAGGCATGGAACATTAAAAAGTTATTTTTGACTTTGGAGTAGAAGCTTCATTTTAGCCAGTGACTTTAGTTCCTGTTTTATTTAAAATGCATGTTAAACTAAGATAAACAAGCATTTTACACAGGAGATAGACAAGCATTGTACATAGTTATGAAGGTATACTTATCTTGCTGCTCACATCTTCTAGAAGAAATGTTTAAAGTCTTCACCTTGAATTGCCCAAGCCCTTCAACAAAGTGCACAGTGCAGAAAAGAAGTACTCAGAGTGAGGGCACAAAGAAGAACTTCATAAAGTATAAGCTTTTACTTTCCAAAGAATAGCTCTCCAGAGCTAGGAGGATGAAATTCTTTTGCCAACAGTTTGCTTTTTTATTATTAGTTCACTGAAGAAAGATTTGTACTTACTTCTAAGGATTAGGGATAATTACTTTAAGCTCAGCTTGCCAGTCTTACACTTCATTGCTAGCTTAATTGGAGTTTTAAGAGGGTTTTGGTGAAGTATAAGGTTAATAGAAGAATCGCAAATTATTAGCCAAGTGTGGTGGTTCTTCAAGAAACTCAGTTCCTTGTTAGGGGTGTCCACCCTTTTGGAATTTCTGGCTTACACTAGAAGAAGAATAGTTGTCTTGGGCAACACATTAAGTATATAAACACTAAGAAAATAATCTAAATGTTTTAAGTAAACTTGTGATTTTGTGTTAGGCCTCATTCATAGCCATCCTGGGCCACATGTGGCCCATGGGCTGTGGCTTGGACACCCCTGTTGATAATAGCGCCTCTATCAATTAAGAATAGGTAGTGTTTCAAGGGTATAATGTATACTTAAGTACTACTCAAACAACTAAAAGTTGTTCTCATTAGAGAATAAGAAAGTATTGCAGCCACATATAAGTGATACCATAGGGTACTTGTTTTCTGTGACTGGCTTATTTCACTTAGTAAAATACTCTCTAAATAAACTAACAAACAAAACAGAAACAGATTAATAGATATAGAGAACAGACTGACAGCTGTCAGGGAAGGAGGCTGGGTGAAAAAGGTAAGAGGATTAAGCAAAAAACCCTCTAAAACTCATAGACACAGACAACAGTGTGGCGATTACCAGAAGGAAAGTGTGGGTGAGGTAGAAGAGGGTAGTTATTCCTTGACTTGGGGTGGTGAACCCACAATATCATATACAGATGATGTATTATAGAATTGTCCACCTGAAATAATTTTATTCACCAATGTTAACCCAATAAATTCTATTAAAAAAGGAAATATTGTAACCAATTACGTTAAGCAGAAATTAGAATTAGGCTGTGTTGGAAATTCCCTGCTTAAATTCTACTCCCAAAGGACTTCTAGTCAAGATGGTGGTGTAGGCAGACATGACTCACCTCTTTGCACAAACACATCAAAATTACAGCTAAAATATAGAACAGCCATCACTCAGAACCATCAGAAATCAAGTTGAATGGAAGTCCTACACTACAGAATTAAAGAAACCACATCCATCCAGATTGGTAAGAGGGGCACAGATGCTGAATGGGCTAGTCCCATACCCATATGTGGTAGATAAAAATTTGGGAGGGTATCTCAGAAACCAGGAGTCCCAGCCCCACACCAGCCCCACAGCCCAGGGTTCCAGTGCCAGGAACTCCCCACAACTTTGGGAATTGAGTTGGTGGAAGAAACTTCTGGAGCCCCAAGCAGTTCCTCTTACAGAATCCCCACATGGACACATTTACTCAGACTGCTGGAGCTCAGTCTCCAGAGCTGTGGTGGCAGCTTGAAGGACATCAGTGACATACTGGGAGAGACTGAAGTGTCTCTTGGGGTGAGCAGAGGCCATTGCCCCTTTTCTGAGTTCTCCCCGCTTGAAACCATGGAGCCAGCAGGCTGGTGCCCTATTTGAGACTATTATATCAACCTGTAACACTGCTTGATCCACCTTGGAGATCCCCAAAGACTCTGTGCCACCCAACTTCTAGGCCTACTCAAGCTGCATTTCCATATGCATGACTAGTCTTGGCTCATACTGCAAAACTTCCTAAAACCTCTCAAAGAAGCAACAACCCCAGGCCTGGCACTAGCAGAAGCAAGCCAAGATTCACAGGTTGGCTTTGCATGGGAATCTCCAAGCCCAGCACTAGTAGCAGCCCCCTCAGATTGCTTTATCAGTCAGGCAGGGTGGCCCCAGACAAAACACAGGGTGGGGGCTGACCTTGTCCTGAACCACCCAGGAAACCCCAGAGACTGTGAACCCAGTGGACAGCTACAGACCATGATAGAGCATTACCATCCTGAGCCTGTATAGCTAGCTGATCCTCCACAGAGGATAAAGGTTGATGGTCAGTGGTCACAGCCAGTTCTTGCAGCTGACTGGCCTGGGTAAATCTGCTAACAGCAACCAAGGTCAACTACAAGAAGAGGGTGTACTCATCCCAAGGATGCACCTCAAGTAACCAGCTTGGATGATAGGGGAGTCTGTGCCATTGAACCCTACAGTACATCTACTACATTAGGCAACACTATGGAGATACAGAGTCAAAGCAGCTTTACCTAATACATAGAAATAAACACAGGGAGGCTGCCAAAATGAGGAGACAAAGAAACATGGCCCAAAGGAGAGAGCAGATTAAAACTTCAGAAAGAGCTAAACAAAATGGAGAGGAACAATATGTCAGATGCTGGGTTTAAAAGACTGGTTATAAGGGTGCTCAAGGAACTCAGTGAGAAAACTCAGCAGCATAAAAAAGATCCAGTCAGAAATGAAGGATATGCTAATTGGAATAAGGAACAATTGATGAAGCCAAGAATCAAATCAATGATTTGGAACATAAGGAAGCAAAAAACAACCAATTGGTAAAACAAGAAGAAAAAACAATCCCCCCAAAATGAGGATGGTATAAGTAGCCTCAGGAAAAACATCAAGAGGTCCAACATTCTCATCATAGAGGTGTTAGAAGGAGAAGAGAAAGAACAAGAACTTGGAAATCTATTTGAAAAATAATGAAAGAAACCTTTCTAATTTGGTGAAGGAAACAGACATGCAAGTCCAGGAAGCACAGAGAGACCCAAACAAGATGGATGCAAAGAGGCCTCATCCAAGGAGCATCATAATTAAAATGCCAAAGGTTAAAGATAAAGAGAGAATCCGAAAAGCAGCAAGTGTAAAGAAGTTAGTTGCCTACAGGGGATTTCCTGTAAGACCGTTGGCTGATTTCTCAAAAAGAATCTTTGCAGGCCAGGAGGGATTGGCAAGAAATATTCAAGGTTATGAAAAGCAGGGACCAACAGCCAAGATTGCTCTAGCCAGCAAAGCTATCATGTAGAGTCAAAGGGCAGAAAAAGAGCCACCTAGACAAGAAAAACTAAAGGAGTTCATCATCACCAAACCATTATTATAAGAAATGTTAAAGGGACTTATGTAAGAAAAAGATCAATATTATGAACAATAAATGACAGTAAATACATATCTATCAACAATGGAATCTAAAAAACAAACTAAGCAAACAAAAAGAACAGAGACAGAATCATAGATACAGAGAGCTTTTTGATGGTTGCCAGATAAGAGTGAGGTGTGGGGGAATGGGTAAAGAGGTAAGGGGATTAAGAAGTACATATAGGTAGTTACAGAATAGCCATGGGGATGTAAAGTGCAGTGTAGGAAATGGAGTGGCCAAAGAACTTATACACATGACTGGTGGACCAGAACAATGGTTGGCAGATTGCCTGGGGAAGTGGAGGTGCTGGGTGGAGAGGTCAAAGGGAGAAAATCAGGATAACTGTCCCGATTTTCAATAAAATATTATTTTTTAAATGATCAATGAAATATTTTTAAAAATTCTACTTCTGACAATTTACCCACTTACTCTTTCAGGCTAATTTCTAGAGGTTTTTTAAATACTATGCTTTAACCATATTATGTTACCTCTTGAATTTTGTTTTAGCCATCATGCAAGTCCATGAGGATTTCTTCCATTACAAGTCAGGGATATACAGACATGTCACCAGCACAAATGAAGAATCAGAAAAGTATCGAAAGCTTCGGACACATGCAGTCAAACTCACTGGGTAAGGCAGTTTAAAATCTTCATTTAACACTTTTGGAAAAGGAAACTAATTCCCCTTTATACTGCAAGAATCTGATACAAATTTAAAATTATCTAAACCTTAATAGTCCTTAGTCATTATTTTAAAATTCGGTTCAGTGAAAGGATAACTTTATATTCTGAGGAATGACCATTCCTTGCCTCTCACTGATTTGCAAATGTGTCCTAAGAATCTGTTCCAAGGACAAGGAAAATACAATAGTTCAATGATATGTTTTACCTATGCATACTTGAGGGAAGGGTAGAAGTCCCAAATGTGTTAGAATTTGGTGAAAAGGTTTTGAATAAAATTACAAATAGTAAAGATTAAGCAGGAAGAGAAGGCAGAGTCACCTTTAAGTCAATGTAAAATTATTTTTTATATTTATGTGAGAATTGTGAAATTAATATTTATCAAACTTGTATGTAAGATATGTTCAGTCCTGCATTGGCAAGAAACAGGCTCAAAATCTGGTTACATTTCAATAGTTAAAGAATTTCATAAATAGACCCCACTCAGAAAGAGTATAGCCCCCCGAGACTGCTTTTCTATGCCTTCCCATGTCGTTCTGGCTGCCCACTGGGCAAGTGTTTTCTCATAACGCTGCACTCCAATTCAAATGAAATGTTGCAGGAAAGATTTGGGAGATTTTTTTGGTTCTGTTTTCATCCCAGACTCTCATTTTGCTCATCTTGCTTAACATGGTAAACATCTTCAATCCTATTGAATATTTCCTTCCTGTTTAAGTTTGATTGAACCTGTACAAAAAACAACCTCTGCTGCAACCTCATTGTTAGCTTCTCCTTACTGATCTTTGAAACTTTCCGAGTCAGTTCTAAGGTAGGTAGACCAATTATCATGTGCAGTCTCTCCTTAATCATCATGCCTCCTTTATGTGAAATGCTCTCATATTTCCATTATAAAACCAGTACATTTTATGGAATCTAGGAAACTACTTTTTTTTTTTGCTTTTCTTGATTTCAAGGATGTGAAAATATGTGCATCTTAGAATTGAAATATATTTCAAGTTAATGTAGGATATTAAAACAACTACAGATGAGGGAAACAAAGTAAGGATGATTTCACTATTCAGTGATAACCTTGCTTAAGAGTTTGGAATAGTTTATTTATCTCCTAAATATATAGCTTTAGAGAAAGATAGCCAGATAGAAACCTAGATATATTTCATAGGAAAATGAGAATACTAAAGTACTTAAAGTTTTATGACAAGGACAATTTTACTAACATTTTTATTAGCAGCATAGAAGACTGCCAGTTTTTCTGTATTCCTGTACCCACTGGGCATTTTACTTTTCCATTTAGTCATATTGAATTTCCAAAGTCATTATAAACATTTGGTGAAAAACATGTCATGAAAGTCTCTCTGTCTTCCTCTCCCTGCTGGTGAAAATTTAGAGAGACAAAAATAGATAATATAAGCTAATGGCATTTTAAAATGCTAACAATCCTGATAATTTTACTTGAATTTAATGAAATATAGTGAAATAATGTAAAATAAGGTATTTTTGATTCTTTAAAATAAGAGATACTAGTTTCTAAAAGAACGCTTTATACTTAAGAAAAATATATTAAAAGAGTTAGTGATTTGAGTACTAATTCATGTTTAGCTTCATATTTCAACTTCAGATTATATTGATTTGTTAACAGACAAGATGAGGAAATTCATCATTCTTATACTTCTTCCCACCTTAATTCCTCTGATATATTATTAGTAATATTATTTTTACATATTAAGGGTTATAAAATTTGCATTTTTTCTGAAATCACAATATACATAGTTTATAATTTCTTACATATTAATGGAGTTACTGATAAGCAAGTACCTTCTGACCTTGAGTTTAATTTCTATTAAATATTTTAGTGAGTGAATTTCATTTTTAATCAAGAGGGGCTCTCTCTTTATGCCTGTGGTCTCTAATGTCTTAAAAATTTGAGAAGATGTTTCCTTTCTATTCAGGAATAACTTTAATAAGTATGAAATTCTGGGACTACAGAACTTTTAAACCTTCGTAGACAATGCTCAAGAGTTTCTGGGTCTCGGTTTCCCTGCAGAGAATCTCTGCTCAGCCAGATGTTTTTGTCTCCTTATAAGTGACATGACCCTTTCTACTCAAATACTCATATTAATCTTTATTTTATCCTTGAATTAGCTATATTCACTTTTTAAAAGTATATGTTATTCATAGCTGAACCCTCTATATGTCCTTTCATAGTTTACTAATATCTTATTATAATTCTTTATTATTTCATTGTATATGATTTTCCTCCACTCTGTCCCATCTATTCTTGAATGTTTATTGGAGTAATTAGTATTCATTCTCCAAAGAGCTTTTGTCTCTGAAATGTGTTTTTTTTTAATTTCTTTCTCTTCCTTTTATTTTGGTTGCCTTTTAAGGTCTTCTTTGACCTGTATCCGGAGACTTCATGTCTCTAACTTCTTGTATCTATGTCTGATTTCTCCAGTTTTCCTGAACAGCTCTTAGTCTTTATATGTCTCTTTTGCCTGATTAAAAAAAAATCTAATCTATGAATTTTGCCCTCTGTCACTTCCTTTTTTCAGTCCATTTCCTCTACTAATTTGACCCCAGCTCCCTCTCATCCCCATACATACTTTCAGTGAATTATTCCACTCTACCTGATGCCCCATTTAACTATTTCTTTTCTCCTTTATTCCCACACTCCCTTTGTTATTTCATTAAAATTCCATGGTGATTCATTATAGTTATTTACACACACCTGGACTCCTCTGTTCTTGCTTGATTCATCATCATATTGGCTTAGCAAAATCTCAAGCCTCGTTAAATATACATCAGCCTGTTTTGTACCTGTAGCTGTGCGTCTGAACAAAGGTGGAAAAACTTCATAACTATGCTGGTTTCACTTGTTATTATAACCACAATTATTTAATACTACCAGGCAATTATATTCTGAACTTTTATTCTGCTTATTGTTCCACTCCTGGTGATTATCTCAAAACCTTTCATTTTGTCTTGAGTCTACAATACCTCTACCCTTGTGCTCGTAGTTGATCACTTTGAGCTCTATTTCACACACACATGCACAAAAGATCAAAGCAATCAGAAATAACTTCCAGTATCACACATGCCATCTCTCAACATATACCGTCTCTTACTTTTTTCCACCTCTTACATAAAGCATCCATGCTCCTACCTAAAGGCCTTTTGTGTTAGACACCAACCCTTTCCCTTATTTAAGAATAGGCAGAAGAGATTTTGCCTTTTTCTTTGTTGTAATCAACCTTATTTCTACCAACATAATGCATGCCATTATTTTTCAGATATTGTGAAAATAAAAACTTTCACTTGCCTCCACTTCTTCCATACTCTATTCATGGTCTTCCCTTACAGTAAACTCATGCAAGATTTTCCAGTACTTACTTCACTGTACTTACATCAGTGCTCCTCCACCCATTTTTAAACCCTTCCAATAATTATTTCCTTGCTCCTCTTTGTAAAAATATTAATTTCAATGTTATTAATGACCACCACATTACTATATTTATCAGTCAGAATGCAGACCTACTCATCTTTTCCTGTTGGTTTTTCTTTTTTGACTCTGATTTTCAGTGTTCTTTGCTGGTGTATTATTTTATTTTATTTTTATTTTCCTGTACTTCTATGCTTCTTAATGTTGGAGTGCCCCAGACTCAGTTCTTGGTCCTTTTCTCCCTTCTATTCTCACCCATTCCCTGATGAACTCATCAGTCTCTGAGCTCATCTGGCTTTGAGAACCATCTAAGCCTGACACCGACTGAGTTTATAACTCTAGCCCAGATCTCTCTCCTGAACTCAGACTCATACATTCTGTGGCCTACTGACATCGCCACTTGGATACCTAACAGATGGCTCAAATTTGGCATTTCTAAACTGAACTTCTGATTTCTGCCTTTACACCTGCTGAACAACATTAATTTTCTCCATCTTACTTAATGATCATATCCTTTCATGTGCTCTAGCTAGAGGCCATGAAATTATTCTTGAAATTTCTTTCCTTGCAACTCACTTTCAATGTGTCAGAAACTCTTGTTTCAACTTATACCCAAAGTCTAACCACTTTTTACTACCAAAACTACCACCACTCTTGCTTAAATTACCATTACTCAATATTTTGTACATGGATTACTTCAGTACTAACATGTTTTCCTACCTTTATATTTGCTCTCAAAAGTCTATTCTCTGCAGAGAAATAAGAGTGCTCCTCCTATAGTACTAGTCAGACTTTGTTACTCCTTTGCTCAGAACCCTACCCTACATTCCCATTTCCTTTGGAGTAAAACCCAAGGCCCTTACAATGGCCCACAAAGGCCTACAGGATCTGAGGACTCCCCCACTTGTCTGCACCCTCATCGACTTTCTGAACTCACGTTCTACTAATCTATGCTGTATTTTTCCCACTCTAGTAGTCTTTTGATGTTTCAGGAACCCACACCTCAGGGTCTTTCTGCCTAAAATGCTCTTTTTATCAGATATCTGATTTCTTAGTTTCCATGTCTCCACTGTGTGTGTGCTCAGACTTCATCTGCTCAGTGTCGCTTTGCTGACTGTCTTATTTAATACGGCTCCCTGCCCTCTTCTCCAGCACTTCTGATCCCTGTTACAAGATCTACTACTCTTTACGACAACTATTATTTTCTAACGTACATTTAACTTCATTAGCTTTGTATGTTCATTGTATATTTTCTGTCTCCCCTACTGGAATGAAGCTCCATGAGAGCAGGTGTCTGTATCATTCACTAATGTAACCGAACCACCTAATATGATGCTGATCTATAAAACACTAAATGCATGCTTTAGTCAAATGATGATTTTTTTTCAGCATATGCTCTATGCTAGTTCTCATTTGGTACTCATCTTTAAATGGGTCAGGTTTTTGTTGAAAATAGAGTATGGGGCAGTTGGAGGAGAGTGCTGAGGCTCTCCTCAGATTTGACTGAAGTGTGC